GAGAAGGAGAAGGATGAGAAGAAGGAAAGAAGGTAGGAGAAGAAGGAAGAGAAGGATGAGAAGGAGAAGGAGAAGGAGAAGGTATGAGAAGAAGAAGGATTGAGAAGAAGGATGAGAAGGATGAGAAGAAGAACGGAGAAGAAGAGGATGAACAGAAAGGAGAAATGATGAGAAAAGGAGAAGAAGGAGAGAAGATGAAGAGAAGACGGAGAAGGATGAAAGAGAAGCGAGAGAAGGATGAGAAGAAGGAAAGGATGAGAAAGAAGGAGAAGGATGAGAAGAAGGAGAAGGGGGGGTGAGAAAGAAGGAGAAGGAGAACTAGGATGAGAAGAAGGGAGAAAGGAGAAGGATGAGAAGTTAGGAGAAGGAGAAGGATGAAAGAGATAGAAGGATGAGTGAGAAGAAGGAGAGAAGGATGAGAAGCGAGAAGGATGAGAAGAGGAGGATGAAAGAAGAAGAATGGCTGAGAATAAGGAGAAGGATGAGAAGGAGAGGAGTAAGGAGAAGGATGAGTAGTGGAAGAGAAGGATGAGAAGAAGGAGAAGGAGAAGGATGAGAAGAAAGAGAAGGATGAGATAGGAGAAGTGATGAGAAGAAGAAGGATGAGAAAGAAAGAATCGGATGAGAAGAAGGATAAGGATGAGGAATAAGAAGGATGAGATGAAGAGAAGTAGGAGAAGAATGGAGAATGATAGAGAGAAGGAGAAAGGAGGATATAGAAGGAGAAGGAAGAGGAAGAAGGAAAGGAGAAGGAAGAAGAAGGAGAAGGATGAGAAGAATGGAAAGGAAGAGAAGAAGGAGAAGATGAGAAGAAGGAGAAGATGATAAGAAGGAGAAGGAGAAGGATGAAAAGAAGGAGAAGGATTGAAAGAAGGATGAAGAAGGATTGAAAGAAGATGAAGAAGAACGGAGGGAGAAGGATGAGAAGAAGAAGGATGAGAAAAGGAGAAGGATGAGAAGAAGGAGAAGGAAAGAGAAGACTGCAGAAGGAGAAGGAATTGCAGAAGGAGAAGGATTGAGAAGAAGGAGAAGGGATGAGAGAAGAAGGAGAGGATGAAAGAATGGAGAAGGAGAAGGATGAGAAGAAGGAAAGGATGAGACAGAATGATGTTGGAGAGAAGGATTGAAGGATGAAAGAAGGAGAAGGATGAGAAGAAGGAGAATGATGAGAAGAGGAGAAGAATGAGAAGGATGAGAAGAAGGAGAAGGATGAGAAGAAGGAGAAGGATGAGAAGAAGGAGAAGGATTAGAAGAAGGAGAAGGAGAAGGGATTGAAGAATAAGGATGATGAGAAGGAGAAGGATGATGAGAAGAAGTAGAAGGAGAAGTGAGATAGGAGAAGGAGAAGGATATGAGAAAAGGAGAAGGAAAGGATGAGAAGAAGGAGAAGGTGTTAGATAGAAGAATAGGATGAGAAGGAGAAGGAGAAGGATTGGTGAAGGAGAAGGATGAGAAGAAGGAGAAGGAGAAGGATGAGAAGAAGGAGAAGGAGAAGGATTGAGAGAAGGAGGAGAAGGATGAGAAGAAGGGTATGAGCAGAAGGAGAGAGATAGAAGAAGGAGAAGGATGAGAATCGCCTTCTCCGTCATGGATGGATAAGAATGGATGAGAAGAAGGATGAGAAAAGGAGAAGGATGAGAAAGAAGGACAGTTTCTGTGACAGTTTTCTGTCTATTTCTGACAGTTCTGGGACATTCTACTCCATACAGCGTTTCAACCGCTGTATGGAGGGAATGTCATAGAACTGTCCGAAATAACTATTAATGACAGTTCTGGACTGTCCTCCTCCATGCAGCGGTTGAAACATTGTCTTAATGTATTTGGTTTCCATAAATGGATCCAATTATGGAAACAAATACATACAATGTTTGCAACCGCTGCATGGAAGGGGGGGGACAGTCCCTCCGTGAACTGTCATTAATAGTCTATTTCTGACAGTTCCATGACATTCCCTCCATACAGCGGTTAAAACAGCTGTATGCAGTGAATGTCCCAGAACTGTCATAAATAGTCTATTTCTCCGATAGATCTGGGACATTCACCTCCATACAGCTGTTTTAACCGCAGTATGGAGGGAATGTCATGGAACTGTCAGAAATAGACTATTAATGACAGTTCTGGGACTCGTCCCTTCCATGCAGCGGATTGAAACATTGTATCCAGTATTGTTGTTTCCATAAATGGGAATCCATTTATGGAAACAAATACATACAATGTTTCAACCGCTGCATTGAAGGACAGTCCCAGAACTGTCATTAATAGTCCTATTTCTGACAGTTTCCATGACATTCCCTATCCATAACAGCGGTTATAAAACAGCTTGTAATGCAGTGAATTGTGCCCAGAACTGTCATAGAAATAGTCTATTTATCTGATAGATCTGGGACATTCACTCCATACAGCATGTTTTAAACAATAAAAAAACCGCTGTATGGAGGGAATGTCCCAGAACTTGTCAGTAAAAAGACTAGACTATTAATGACAGTTGTGGGGACTGTTCCTTTCCAATACAGCGGTTGAAACATGTGAATGTATTTGTTTCCATAAATGGATCCATTTATGGAAACAAATACAAACAATGTGAGTTCAACCGCTGCATTGGTAAGGACAGTCCCCACAACTGTCATTAATAGCAGGTCCCCCCCCCCCCCCCTAATTTCTGACAGAATTCCAAGACCAATTCCCTCCATACAGGCGGTTTAAAACAGCTGTATGCAGATGAATGTCCCAGAACTGTCATAAATAGACCTATTTCTGACAGTTCGGGGACATTTCAGCTCCATACAACAGAGCGGTTTCACTCCCGGCAAAAAGTGTATGTTGCAGGATGAGTTCCTCTATTCTGCAGATACACTTAGAAGAAGTGACTCTGCAGATAGCACTTAGAGGATGCTCTGCAACAGTACACCTTTTTTCCGGTTTGGAATTATTCTTAATTTATCATCCTACTTCTTCGTTCTTCTTCTTTCATCCTCATCCTCAGGAACTCTTCTTCCTTCTTCTGAGGAGATTGAGGATGAAAGAAGGATGAGAGAAGAAGAAGAAGAAGAAGAAGTAGGATGAAAATAAAAGATAGAATTCCAAGCCGCATCTAAAAGTGTATGTGCAGAGCTCCTCTAAGTGTATCTGCAGAGCTCCTCTACAAGTGAGAAGATCTGCAGAATAGAGGAACTCTGCACATACACTTTTTTAGCCGGGCTGAGGAATTATTCTTCTTTTCATCCTACTTCTTCTCTTCTCTTCTTCTTCATCATCCTCATCCTCCTCAGAAGAAGAGGATGAGGAATGGAGGGATGAGAAGATGATAGGAGGAAGAAGAAGAAGAATGAAAAGAAGAATAATTCCAAGCCGCAAACAAAGTTGTATGTGCAGAGTTCCTCTATTTCTGACAGTTTCTCTCACAGCTTCCTTCACATGTACAGCGGTTGAAATATCTGTATCCTAAATGGAAACTAATAGATACAAATTGTATCTATTAGTTTCCATTTAGGATACAGATGTTTCAACCCGCTGTACATGTGAAGAAAGCTGTGAGAGAACTGTCAGAAATAGAGGAACTCTGCACATAGCACTTTTTGCCGGCTTGGAATTATTCTTCTTTTCATCCTACTTCTTCTTCTTCTTCTTCTTCTTCTTCTTCTTCTTCATCCTCATCCCTCATCCTCTTCTTCTGAGGATGAAGAAGAAGAAGAAGTAGGAAGATGAAAAGAAGAATAATTCCAAGCCGGCAAAAAGTGTATGTGCAGAGTTCCTCTATTTTCTGACAGTTCTCTCACAACTTCTTCACATGTACAGTGGTTGAAAACATCTGTATCCTAAATGTAAACTAATAGATACAATGTTTCAACCGCTAAACATGTGTTCCTTCTGTCAGAGAACTGTCAGAAATAGCGGAGCTCACTGCAGGGACACTTTTGCCGGCTGATCGGGAAATGTTCGATTCGCGCACCCGAAGTAGGCAAAATTTCGGTTTCGACACGAATCGAATATTTCCTGAAATTCGACTCGAATTCCGGTTTTCGCCTAGTTCGATTCGCTCATCTCTAGTTATGTTCAATAATTGTGTTTCTAATTTATTTCTTCTTTATAATTTTGAATGATAGAAATAAAATATGTTCTTGAAATTCCCATGGAAGGTTCAACTTTCACCAAATGATGTGGCAAATTTTCTGCCAATTTCAACTAGACACTGTGATGGACACTATGGGGTTTATTTACTAAACCTGGTTGACTCATCTTGAATCTTGGGCACCTGTGCATGGTAGCCAATCAGCTTCTAACCTCAGCATGTGTTCAGTTAAGCTTCAGCAATAAAAACCTGGAAGCTGACTTGTTCTGTTTAAGATTTGACAAGGAAACCTGGAAGCTGGTTTCTCTGCGGAGCTGCACCAGATTTTGCACTCTCCAGTTTTAGTAAATCAACACCATAGAGGTTGATTTACTTAGACTGGAGGGTGAAGACTCTGGTGCAGCTGTATACAGAAACCAATCGGCTTCCAGGTTTTTACTGTCAAAGCTTAATTTTGGCTGGTTTCCCTGATGAACTAACTGATATCCACTTCGTGGGTGGTCCTATGGCGCATCGTCTTTTGATTTTTTTTTTTTTTAGCTTTATTTTTTTTTTTATTTCTTCTGCCAAGTGAATATGTGTTCTATTTGAACAACCAATCATTCACAAAGTCAAAACGGTACTCCTAATTTGGGTTGCTAGGAGAACATTTTTGACGTTCACATGGCAGAAGACATTTAAAAAAATAATACAAATTTCAAAAATGTACTTTCATTGTAATTTATTAGACTACTGGGAACACAGGTTCACCTAGCTAAGAGAACTACACAGTATTTTAGTTTTAATCTTTACTAAAAACACATGGGATAAATGTACTCTCTTTAATTTTTCAGATGTTACATATTTAAAAAGGATGCAACATGTCAATAAGACTGTGGTAAAGGAATTTATTCTACTGGGTTTTTCCAGTTTCCACAAGTTACAGAATGCAATGTTTTATGTTATTCTACTATCCTACATTGTATGTGTCTTTGGAAATATTACTATAACTATCTTAGTTAGAACATACCCTACGCTTCAAACTCCAATGTACTTTTTTATCAGCACATTTTCTATTTTAGAAATAATGTTTGTTTCGGTAACTGTTCCAAAACTTTTAGCCATCCTAATGAGCACAGATGGAAGTATATCTGTCATTGGTTGTTTCCTACAGGTGTATACTTTCCACGCATTAGGAGAAGCTGAATGTTTTCTTCTTGCTCTGATGGTCTTCGATCGATATTTAGCTATTAACAACCCACTGCAATATTCAATTATTATGAACAGTAAATTGTGTTCCCAGTTAGCTGCTCTTCCATGGATATTTGGATTCACAATCTCTTTTATTCCTGCAATTGTTACAATGCTTCTGGAATACTGTGGTTCCAATAAAATTGATCATTTCTTCTGTGATCTGGCTCCATTGCAGAGATTGGCCTGTTCTAACCTGTTTTTTAGCAACATGACCACTGTTTTAGCAGCTTTCATGTCAGTTATTACTCCATTTATTTCAATAGTTGTACTGTACATTCAAATTGTATGTATAGTCTTAAAGATCAAAGGTATTAAAGGAAAAAAAAAAGCTTTTTCAACATGCTCATCCCATCTTATTGTAGCAAGCTTTTTCTATGGTACCGCCATTGTTGTATACAGCAGACCAAGCGGTAGTCACTATGATAAGTTCCTTGCTCTCATGTATACTGTTGTTACTCCATTGTTAAATCCATTTATCTATACTTTCCGCAACACAGAGGTTAAGGATGTCTTAAGAAAGTTAATTAGACAGCACCTAATAAAACCTAAAGGTTAACATTAATTTAAAAAGCAATATTAATAGTTCATGTTTATGTTTTCCTTTTATTTTATTTTCTTTTTTCATCTTAATTTTTTTGTTTGTTTTGCCCTTTTTGCTTTGTTTTATTTTAGTTGACATTATTCCAACTGAAATGGCTACACATCCTGGTAAGATTGTAATTACACTGAATTGACTGGTATAATGGCACCGCTAAAACAAAAGAACCAAAATTTATAAACCTGCAGGACAATTTATTTGGACAGTTTATAAAAAGCCCCAACAAGAAATGATGGTCTGCCTGAATTGTTCATTTCAAACAAATACACAAACACAGCCAGTGGTGCACTGGACTAATTAACAACCATGAAAAGGAAGTTGCTCCAAAGTAATGTTCACAATTGGGTGTGCTGCAGCTCTCCATAAACTCAACTGGGGGGGTGGAAACATGCCTGCAACAATACAAAAGGAGAGAGCGCACATCCACCCTAGTGTATGAACTGTAATCATTTCAAACAAAGCAGAGTTCACAAATGTCCATATAAAGAAGAATATAGGTAGTACTGACCAAAACTTTAGTTGACCCCTTAACGCCAACTCCTGTGGCTCGTTAAGTGGACTTGAAAACAGTTGTAAACCTCAGACAATAAATATGAACAACGCATGTCCCTGTATAGTGTGTACCTGTCTCTATTAAGAGCAATAAGTGTCATTTCTGTCTATTGATTCATTATTCTGCTATCAGCATTGATGCCTTCTGACAAGTTTTCCTGACACCAAGAGAAAAATGGTGACAGGGGACGGACCTCCAGCAGATTGACAGCCCCAGCTCCATTACTGTGACCTGTATGAGGGGGGTGTGTCTCTTCCCTCTAATCAGCTCTCAAAGCTCTCCTCAGTGAGCACTGCAGAGTGTAATTTCAGCTCTCTGCACCTTTTTTTCTGAACTCCTGGACAAACTTTATAAATTCAACACTTTGAACAGATGTAGAGAAGTGAAGACTGCACATAGACAGGTACAACCTGTGTAGGAGGATTTGTTTAATCTCTGTGTAGCATCTGAGGCCAGTCATTTCACTGGGTATGTGTAAGGGTTTGCAACCACTTTAATGCCACTTTAACACTTTAAGGTGTTATAGCCTCTATCATTTGGCTGTCAAAGCAGTCACATGATTGGGAGCTAGAGCCACTGGCTCCAAATCAGAAGTCATGACCGGGAGCTGTTGGAGACAGAATCTCAGGCCTCCATTGATACATATACTGTATGCAGCAGCTGGGTGTTAAAGCTCACTTTCCTGCCACCACATATATATGTTACATTGTCAGCTTACTGGCATAATTTACTCACACAAGTGCATCTAGTGACTACAATAAATGATAAATTCTAGCCAACAGAATAAGTATTCTAGCCAGAAACATTTTTTATGCTTTTTGGCAGCTCCTGGCAGAAAGGTCCATAGATAGAAGTATTTTAATATGACTGTATGCATGAAGCCTTAAAGAATATTCAGAACCAATATTTCTTATTCCATATATGTGCCTGCCGTACCATGTACTTGTATGAAAATGTATCATGTTCTTTTTGTATTGCTTCTTTTGTGTGAAATCCCTGATGTTACTGCCAATCCCTCTGCTTTCCTATTAAATATTGACCACACTAGGTAGAACACTCCATGGTCAATTCTCTATCTGTGCTGGGAACTTAGCCTGCTTTTCTCCAATGATCAGACTTGTCCTCACAACCCCCCTCCCCTTCCCGCACAGCCTTTCACTGGGGAGCTCAGTGTTCTTCTGCTTTGCCTCCCCCAGCTCTTATGCAGCTCTATAAGCAAATGTTTTGCCTTTCATTTCTATTTTAAACTGAATGGGTTGTTTTACAAGGTGACTGTTCACAATCACTTTAACATTCCATAAATTAAAAAAAATCATAGTATATCTTCTGGTGCCTTGGGCCTCTTTCATACGAGTGGCTAGTAGTGAGCCATAGTTTTACTGTTCCCAAACCATTCATCTAAAGTGTAAAATACAGCCGGAGGAGGATGTTCACATGCAATGGACATAATAGGTTGAATCACATGTGCTGAGTTGACAGGCGGCACTGTCTTTAAAACTTGGCCAATCAGCTCTTAGGTTACTTCTATTGGTGGATCTATGGAAATTTCTAAAGCTTAAAAATCCCCCTTTAACAGCCAAAGTTTCAATGTTGGCATGGTGTTCACTCAACCATGCTTTCATGCACAACACTCGAAATCCTTATATTCAAATTCCTCTTTAAATTTTGGAACTTCTTATACTTCATCGCTCTGTTAAAAAGAGGTGCTGCCTAGAAATTTATTGGGTGGATGACCTTTTATCTGGCACCTCACCCAAAACTATGAAAGTGTTGGTGGATGAATATGGTATTCCCAACTTAGAATTCTATATGTGTATCTGTATCTTGCGTTTTCTATCCATGAATCCCAGGTCACCAACTTATAAAACTGCTAATCCTGTGGGTGGATATAACTTTCCACCAAGCCTTGATAAGGGCATTATCATGTTTTACAACCTCATTCAAAACAAAATGGCCTTCCATAAAACCCCTCGGCTGTGTGAGTCTGACCTGCATCAAACTTTTATTACTCCTCAGTGGCTGAAACTGAAAGCATTTCTATATACAGTATGTATAGAATTACACACTGTAAATCACTGAGATCTAACCTAAAAAAAAATTGCATCACGCTAGTATTTGACCCTATACGGATTTGCAAAATTTTTCTCTTCCAACTCTTCTTACTGGCGTGACTAAAGCCACCCAGGAAATATTATCCACATTTTTAGCCCTGTAAAAACGTAACTAGCTTTAACTAGCTTCTGGCTTCTTCCAGCTAATATCTGATATCACTGGTATATTAATATCTCCAAACCTTGCCCTGGCAATTTTAAACTCGGGGACTTAATATTTTACATCTAATTTACATACATAATATTTTACATCTAATTTACATACTGTTATAGCCCATGTGTTAATAACAGCAAAAATTATTATAAGATTATGGACAAATGAGCTAGTACCTAATCCGACAAAAGTTATCACTTTATTAAAATTACAAAAAAAGTACAAAAAAATTGCTTGCTATTAGATCTTACTCTCTACATTTGAGAATTCTTAGAAAGCATGGGCAGAATGGTGCTCAAAATGATTTTATTGTATAGATAGATCAACCTGTAATAGCTGTATTCTCTGTATTCTGATTTTTTATGAGGAGGTGAGCAAAACCTTGTAAAGAGGGATGGCTGTGGATGTGGTACACTTGGAAAAATCAAACGCTTTTACAAGAAACCAAGTCTGTAGACTTTACCGTACACATTAGCCATGTGTGGAGAACTGTGTCAATGGATAGAAAACTGGCTAAATGACCAAACACAGAGAGTAGTGGTTAATGATTCATACTCTGAATGGTCTAGGGTTGTCAGTGGTGTATCCCAAGGTTCAGTGTTGGGACCCTTACTTTTTAATATATTTATAAACAATATAGGGTCTGGGATTAAACATACTGTTTCAATCTTTGCAGATGACACCAAGCTGTGCAGTGGAATAACGTCCTCCCAGGATGTCTCCAACTTACAAGCTGATCTCACTGCACTGTTTAATTGGGCAACTATGTGGCAAATGAGGTTTAATGTTGATAAATGTAAGGTTATGCACTTGGGGGCTAAGAATATGCATGCATCATACATACTGGGGGGGAGTACAACTGGGGGAGTCAATGGTGAAGGATCTGGGAGTTCTGGTAGATCACAAGCCTAATAATTGCATGCAATGCCAAGCTGTGGTTTCTAAAGTGAGCAAAATCCTCTCTTGTATTAAAAGAGATATAGACTCCAGAGAGAGAGATATCATATTACCCCGGTACAAATCATTAGTAACACCTCATCTGGAATATGCAGTTCAATTTTGAGCACCAATTCACAAAAAGAGCATTGGGGAAATGCAGCAAGTGAGGAGAAGGACAACCAAACTGATAAGAGGCATGGAGGAGCTCAGCTTTGAGGAAATATTAGAGAAACTGAATGTATTCTCTCTTGAGAAGAGAAGATTAAGGGGGTATATGATCTCCATGTATAAATACAACAGTGGTTCATATAGTGAACTCGGTGTAGAGATATTCACCCTGAGGTCATCACAGAGGACAAGGGGGCACTCAATACATCTGGAGGAAAATTGAAGAAAACTTTCCATATTTGGAAATTTAAATCTCAGTAAGAACTGTGAAAATGTGGAATAGACTCCCTCAAGAGTTGGTTCTTGTCAGCTCAGTGGATGCTTTAACCACTTGCCTACCGGGCACTTATACCCCCTTCCTTACCAGGCCAATTTTCAGCTTTCAGCGCTGCCGCACTTTGATTGACAATTGCGCGGTCATGCAACATTGTACCCATATGAAATTTTGATCATTTTTTTTTCTCACAAATAGAGCTTTCTTTTTGTGGTATTTAATTGCCACTGGGCGCTTTACTTTTTGCGCTATAAATTAAAAAAAGTGCAAAAAATTTGAAAAAAAAAAAAAAAGTTTATTTGTTTCTTTTATAAAATTTTTCAAACAGGTATTTTTTCTCCTTCACTGATTTGCGTTGATGAGGCGGCACTGATGGGCACTGATAGGCGGCACTGATGGGCACTGATAGGCAGCACTAAAGGGCACTGATAGGCAGTACTAATGAGGTGGCACGGATAGGCGGCACTGATAGACAGCACTAATTAGGGGTCACGGATAGGCGGCACTGATATGCAGCACTGATAGGCGGCACTGATAGGTGACACTGATGATGGGTACTGATAGACGGCACTGACTGGCATCACTTCTGGGCACTGACTGGCGGCACTGACTGGCACAACCCCTG